GCCCCAGGGGCGACAAGAGGCCGAGGCTGGGGCTGGCCCTGCTCCCCGTGCCTCCCAGGCTCTCCTCCCGGAAGGTGCTAAGGGCTGGAGGAGCCCGGAAGGGGTCTGCAACTGCGCATTTCTCCGACCCGGGGACAAAGAAGCAGCTGACTGGGGCTCAGCCAGCCTGTCGCCGCCAGGCGACTGGGACCCTAGCCACGCACGTGTCCACACACGTCCGGCGAGGTCCCACGTGTACACCCCCAACCGAGCGGCTCCCTTCCTCCGGCTCCAGCCCCAGGCTCCCACCCGGCAGGGACACGTGTCCGCGGGGAGCGCGCCCGGCACCGCCGGGGCCGAGCATGGCCTCCCACACCCGGGCGGCAGCGGATCGGAGCATCCGTTGGTCCAGGTCCCGCCAGGGCCACCATGTCCAGACAGCTGTCACTCCCCTCGCCCCCATGGCACCCCTAGCCCCGCAGCCCGGCCGCGCTCTGGTGGGCACAGCGAGGAGCCGGGGGCGGGCACTCACCGCGCTTTTTCTCGGCTCTGCCCGCCCCGCCCCAGCCTGGGCCTGCACGCGGGCTGCAGCTCCCCCTCCCGGCCGCTGCGCCCACTGCGCCCACCATACTTCGGCCCCTGAGGGAGCATGGCAGGAAACTTGGATGAAGGCGTCCTGGAGGAGGGGCAGGACCTCCAGCCGGCCGTGCTCTGCAGGGAGAGCTGGCCAAGCGCAGGCGGGCAGCGCAGATGCACGGGTGCCCCACAGGGGACTCTGTATCCCGCCCTGGGGAGTTACTTTGTAACTCTGACTGGGAGGGAGCAGGAGCAGGGCTGTGCGGAAGGGCATGCCGGCCGCCCCCTCCTGGCCCAGGCCTCTGACCACCTGGGCACCCTTTGCCCCCTAACAGCGCTAGGGGACAGCAGGTGAGGCGGAGGTTAAGGCCGCTGGATCCCACCTGGCTTGGAGTCCCGGACCTGGCAGCTTGAAACTACCAGGGGGGCCAGCAGGTGGTGTGATGGTTAAGGGCGCTGGACTCCCACCTGGCTGACCACGGTTTGAGTCCCGGACCTGGCGGCTTGTTTTTTCACTTTCCTCTCACTCTCTTCTCTCGCTCTGTCCCTCTCTGGTTAAATTAATGAATAAATAAATAAAGTTAAATAAAGTATTTTGTTTTTAAATAAAGAAGAAGAAGAAGAAACTACCAGGTGTGCATGTGTACAAGCGTGCCCCAAATCCTGAAATGCTGAGGTGAATGGAGAAGGAATAGCGACGTGGCCATGGGGGGTTCCTCACTCTCTCCCTGTCGCCAGGACGTGCACACGGCCTGTAGCAAACTAATAAATAAGCCCGGCTCAGAGAAGGCAGATGGAACCCTGCAGGTTTGTTGCACAACACTGCCCAGCACAGGGAGGGTGTGGACAGTCCTGGCCACGCCGCAGCAGGGCCTACGCGGTTCCGGTTTCCGGGGACTGTGAGGCTGAAGAGCCTGACAGAGCAGGGTCCTCGGAGGCCAGGCCGGAGCGCCGGATGCCATCCTGGTACTTGCGGCGGCCAAGCTCCAGGACTGCCCGCACCTCGTCGGCCACATCCTGCCGGTCACTCTGCTCCAGGGCCCTCACCAGGAGCTCCACCGCCCCTGGCTGCCGGGCCTGGCGCTCGGCCCAGGAGAAGAGCATATGGCGGATCTGCCCATCCAGGTCGTCCCTTGGAGAGAGGGGCATGGTGAGAGGGGTCCTACCCAAAACCACCCACCACAGGCTGCTGCAGACCCTCCTAGGGAGGTGCCCTGCTCCCTGGGCCACCGTGGCTAGACCCCCCACTTCCCCCAGAAGACGCTGCAGTGTTTCTCAAGCAGGGCGCGTCCCCACAGCTCCCCCCACCGTGGCCAGCAGGACGCTCACCTGAACTCATGCCGGATGCGCTGCAGCTCGCGATAGGGCACGCCCAGGTGCAGCGCCACAGCAGGCCAGTCGGGACCCAGGCGTGAGGCCACACTCAGCAGGTTGCTCTGAGTCAGGAAACCGGTCTCTGCATCGCCCAGGTTCAGAGGGGCCAGGGAGAGCCCAGCCCCTTGCCCTTGCCCCTCAGACCCTCGCAATCTCTGTAAGGAGGAGGGGTGCCATGAGCCGCAGCCTCTCCCCAGACTCCTCCCAGCCCTGGTCACCCCGGGCCCCCGTCCCGCCCCCACCCCTCACCCATGCCCAGGAGCCACAGCGGGAGCTTGATGGGCAGGGTAGCCATCCACAGGGCATCGACGTCCTTCCTCCGCCGGGCAGCCTCGGCCTCTTCGGGCACCTCCATGGGCACCGTGCCCCGGTAGAAGGACACCTGAGAGGAGTCAGGTGGGGTCAGGACGGTGGTACCTGCCCAGGCAGCCTGGGGAACCCTACCCATTGGCCCACCTGGCCCCGCACGGCCTGGGCCTCCCGGTCCAGGGTGGTGGTCACGTAAACCTCCTTCACATTCTTCAGGTGTGAGTAGAAAACAAAGCAGATTCTGCCTTCCACACAGTCTGGGCGGTCTGGGGGGGACGGGGTGAGCTCAGCAGCAGGGACAGACCATGAGGTCGCCTCAGGGCTGGGGAGGCCTACCAGCATCCACGTCAATGCCCCGCTCGAAGGCCGCAAAGAACTTCTCGCCCTCAAACATGTCCACGGTGTCAGAAGGCTCAGGGCCTCGGTACCGATCCAGCAGGCGCCGCAGGGTGGCGTCCACCTGCAGGACGCAAGGCTTGGAGTCCACACTGAGTCCCCTGCTGCTGACCCGGCCCACTGGTCACCACCCGTGCCCTCTCGCCTGCCCCCACCTTGTTTCGGGGCAGACACTGCAGCAGGACCTGCTCCGGGTCTCGGCGCCGCTGCAGGGCGATGAGGTTCACGCGGTGCAGCCGCGGCCGCTCCCAGGCTCTGCGCGCCAGGCCCCCCACACAGGTCTTTGTGGTGTACCAGAGCCAGTACCTGGGAGGGCCCGGGGGGTGAGCTGGGCTGCAGGCTGCAGAGGGGGCCGGGAAGCCGGGGGTGGGGGACACTGACCAGGAGAAGTGTGTGACCTGAAAGCGAGCGTACACGTGGCTGAGCTCCAGTGCTACCTGAGCCGTGATGTCGTCCCAGGTGGCTGAGGGAGGGGCCCGGTGCAGCAGGTGCAGACGGGAGCGGTCCAGACTGAGGCCTGGGGACAGAAAACAGGCAGCAGGCTAGGGCTCCCCCTCCAACCACTGCCCCTCCACCTGTGACCTTAGGTCCAGGCAGGTATGCTTTTCTTTTTTTTTTTTTTGGAGAGGTTTTTGCTATAGGGCACGTGTGCTCGCCAGAAAGACAGACAGAGACAGAGAGACAGAAAGCGAGAAATCACCCCCCAGGGGGGATGGCCACGCCGCAATCCCTTCTCCTCCATTCTCCTCTCGGGATCTTGGGCATGCACGCACACGCACCCGGCGTGAGTTTAAGCCACTGGGTCCGGGACTCGAACCACAGTCAAGTACATGGGAGTCCAGCGACATAGCCATTATACCAACTGCTGGCCCCCAGGCAGGTATGCTTTAAGACCACCTCTCACCTGTGACGCCAGGGGGCAGAGGCAGCTGCACAGTGACTGGTCGGAGGAAGCCGGGGCCACTCTTGGAGAGGCACAGCAAGGGGCTCACTGCGGCCTCCGGCTCCTCCAGGAGGGCTCGTAGCTCCCGGCTGGCCATGCGCACCACCTGAGGCAGACAGGCCACTTGGACAGCCACCTCTTGCTGAGGCTCACCTGCCGCCCTCTGAACTCCCCTGGTCATACCTGCATGGAAACACGAAGAGGCTCCTCGGTGGCCCCAGGGGGGAAAGTGACCTTGACCCCAGGATGACCCGAGGAGTACAGCAGTGTCCCCTCTGGTAGCACCAGGCAGGTATTTGACACGGGGCGTGAAACCACATGGAACCAGGAGAAGTGTCTCACTCGGCAGTGAGCCCACAACCGCTGAGGTGGGCATGGGGGAGGGCAGAGGGGAGGCTGGGTCAGGAAGAAGAGAGTGTGCAGGGCTGGGCGGGGTCAGGGTGAGCTGTGAGGAGGCTGCACAGGGCTGGGGTGAGCTGTGGGCAGGGCTGGGTGAGCTGTGGACAGGGCTGGACAGGGCCGGGGTGAGCTGTGGGCAGGGCTGGACAGGGCCGGGGTGAGCTGTGAGCAGGGCTGGGGGCTTTAGGTGAGCTGTGGGCAGGGCTGGGGATTTGGGATGAGCTATGGGCAGGGGTGGAGGGCCGGAGTGAGCTGTGGGCAGAATGGATGGAGTCAGGGCAGGTAGCTCCCCACCTGGGCAGCCCTCACCTTGGGCACCTGTTCCTCCAGGTAGGTCTCCAGATCACTCCAGTTGTTGTCGCTCCGGGTCCTGATGACCACTTCACGGCAACGCCGGGCCCGTGGGGGGACAAAGAGCAGCCCCAGGCCCACATCCTGCTAGGCAAGGATGGCATGAGGACTGGGGCCAGGCCTGGGGCCCCCACGTCTGCTTCCCGCCCTACCCCGTCCCTGCCTGCTGGAAGGCCACCCCGTGGGGCTGTAGCTCCAGGACACAGCTGAGCAGGGTATCGTGAGGCCCCAGAGAGACGAGGCCGGGCTCCGGCAGCCACAGTCGGTAGTGGACGGTGATGGGAGTAGTGGTCGCCCCTGCTGGAAACCGCAGTCGGGCACCGCAGGCCAGGCTCACAGAGCAGCCTCGGGAGGTCACAGGGAAGCTGGGTGAAGAAAGGACCTACGTGTTGGAGCTGGCACCGCAGGGCTCTGGGAAGACCCCTCAGGCACGGGCGAGGTGTCCAGTGCACTCAGGATGACCGAGCCCTCACCCTCCCCGTCCCATACCTGTCCCAGTCGGAGGTCAGGAATAGTCTGGGCATTTCTAGAGCCAGGGGTGTCTCTGCAGAAGGGGCGGATGACTGGTCAGGACAGTGATGTGTCCTACCCATGGCCTCCCCCTCCTCAGCACTAAGCCTACCTAGGGGACTCTGGGGTTCTGGCAGAGCCTCGCCCAGGGGGTTCCCCTGCAGGCGCACAAAGGGGGCGTCCAACAGCTCGGAGGGCACGTCCCGGAGCTGGTTGTCCCTGAGGTCGAGGCGGGCGAGCAGCGGGAGGTGAGCGAGGCCAGCAGGCACGGAGGTCAGAAGGTTGCTGTGCAGAATAAGAAGCCGCACAGACCGCAGCCCCGCTGCAGACGGTGCTGGTTCAGGGCCAGCGGAAGACCACTTGGGGCCACCCCTGGCCCTGGAGTAACAGGCTCTGGCTGGACGGTCAGGCCAAGTCTGGACATGATGCTCAGCCTCGCAGAGAAGCCGCTTCAGGCTCTTCTCCATGGCCAGACAGCTCACACAAAGCTGTGCAGGGAGCCCCGAAGGCTGGGGGAGCAGAGGAAAACCAGGGCGCAACCTGGGAGGGCTGAGGCTCACGGTGTGTACACGGGCCACTGGGGAAGTGGAGAGGGGTCCAGATCCCATGACAGCAAGGCTGTGGCTGGGAGTGGAGGTGGGCAGTGGCTGTAGGATGCTCCCCATTGGGCCCAGAAAGCCAAGGAGAACGGCTGTTACTCACCAAGGGAGGCCGGGAGGCTCTGCAGTCGGTTGGAGGCCAGATTGAGCTCAATGAGGTTGCTCAGGCCTCCGATTTCCGAGGGTAGAGTGTCTAGAAGGTTCTCAGAGAGGTCGAGGCGCTGCAGGGTAGAGAGGGCCCCCAGGGCCGTGGGCAGCGTCTGCAGGCGGTTGTGTTTCGCTGTGAGGAAGGTAAGGGCGGGCAGGGTCCCCAGGGCCTCAGGTAGCTCTGACAAGCAGTTGTGAGACAGCAGGAGGGCGTCTAGCCGGTGCATCTGCGGGTCACAGGCTGGCAGCGTCTCGAGGCTGTTGAAGCTCAGGTCCAAGTGGGCCAGGCGGGCTAGGCCACTCAGGCCAGCAGGCAGCGTGGTCAGGGTGCCCCGGAGACAGGCGCCCAGCGTATCCCGGCGCTGCCCTCCTGGGAACAGGGAGGTGGATGTCGCCCTCAGAGCCAGGGTTCTGGATCCCAGCTCGGCTCTGCCCATCAGAGAGCGGCTGGGGAGGTCAGAGCTCCCATCCCAACCACAGGCAGACAGGGACAGACAGACAGACACTGAAGAAGAGCCGGCAGGTGGAGGGAGGCAGGGATGGAGAGGACCTGAGGTCACTCAGGCCACAGCCGTCACCAGTGGCCTGCCCCAGAGATAGGGCCCATGCTGGGCAGCTCCAGGCCTGAGAGCCGGGGTCCAGCCAGCCAGCCCCTCTAAGGGGCAGAAGGGTGGGCAGCACTGGGACAGAGACGGGGCTGGGCCGGGCAGCGCCGGGACAGAGACGTGGCTGGGCCGGGCAGTGCCGGGACAGAGATGGGGCTGGGCTGCTGACAGCGATCTCAGAACAAAACAGGTACTAGGTACCCATACCAGGGAGCAGAGGGGAGAGTCCTGGAGGCAAAGCTGGAAATGGCTTTGCCTTTGAGGACGGAGATGCAGAAACAGGTCAGAGCTGGAGGACAGCCGGGTCAGAACCTGTGGGCTCACCTTTCAGGACCAGGGAGCGGAGGTGTGGCAGGCTTCGAGGCACACGGGCCAGGGTAGTCTCCAGCAGTCCAGAGTCCTCGTGGGTGCTCAGCCGCAAGAACTCCACCTGCAGTAGCTGCGAGGACAGCCGGGCACACAGGCACAGCAGCCGGCGACAGCCCCGGGGCTGCAAGTCCAAGCTCAGCCGGTTCCCAGCCAGGAGAGCGTCTGCCCCAGGCCCTGCATCCACAGCCTCGGCAGCATCGCCAGCAGCATCCTCTGCAGCAGCCGCCGCTGCCTCCGCCTCCAGCCCCTCCACTGCTGCAGCCATCGCCCACCGACGGTCCTCGGGGGCCAGACATGTCCCAGCTCGCCAGGCAGGCCTGCTCAGACAGGACCCAGGGAGGCTGCAGAGAGGGGCGGAGCGGTGGGCGCGGGTGGAGGCTGGGCCCTCTTCAGCTGTCAGAGGAACAGGGACTGGCTAGGCTGGGGGAGCCCCTGAGCCAGGGCATTTGGTCCACAGAGCCCAGGGCCTGGGTGGGACAGAGTGGAGCAGGCCCCGAGGCCTGGATTGTCACTGGAAATGGGGCTAAGGAACGGGACCCCTGTGGCTAGGGGGGCTCAGCTGAGCTGCCTGGGGCGAGGCTGTGACTCCCAGACCCTACAAGTCACCCAGATGAAAAGTCCACCTCCGACTTCACAGTCAGTAACTTTGGCGGGAAAGCCCATGACCCTCCTGTGCCCTGGGGTGGCCGTGCCCCCGATATCAGTGTGCCCCGCATGGGAGGATTAGAAATAGGGTGTGAGCCTGCCATTGGGCGGCTTCGGGGTCCTGGGGGTCCTGCCAGATTCGTGACCCCTGGAGGACGGCTCTCCCGCCGCTTCCAGCCTGCACCTCGGCGGGGCGGGGCAAG